AAAACCCTAGGATTACAGGCAAAAACCCCTGTAGTTGTAATCAAAACTCTAACTCCTTTTTCAACCCAGAAAGAAAAAGAAGCCAAAGTTGAGGGGCAATTGTGGGAGGCAAAAACAAATCAACATAGGGCAGGACTGGAATTCCTGGCTGGCAATAGGAAAGCAGCATCGCCAGCAAAATGGAAGGTCAGCCCAAGATAGTTTGAGTCTGGCCTAGCAGCTCAGGACCAAACTAGGCCAAATAAGTTTTAGGACAAGAGAAATGCGCCAGAAAGCACGCCCAAGAAGGGCGCAGACCCAGTCAACCCACATCACTTTATTTTATGTTCAACCAACTCCTAGAAATCCGTACCTGGTAGAACATAATCCCTAAGGAAAGGGGATTGACGTGAGGAGTGAAGGGAAGCCTAACAGCCCACAATGGTTAGGAGGAGCAACATATAAAAGGAGAAGCAATCAACACAATGGAGGTATGAAAACACTTCTACCTGAAGCCTATTAAGATAATCCTACACCTTTACCTGCCTCTGTCACTACCTTAGGCATCGAAGGGTGCCCAGGCTACTCCAGCTATCCCCCTTTACCTTTATCTAAGTGTTTTTCAAGTCAGGAATCAAGCTATCTCCGCTGCGTCACGGTCACAGCCTAAGTGGTTCGATTTTTACCCACCGCATATATTATACTAGAAAGTAGAACACATTTAGCATGTTATATTTAACTAAAAAATTTAAAACTCCATGAGCATGCAAATTATATCATAAAATTATAAAATAAAGGAACATGCAAATCATAGCAAGAAATTAGGAATCATGCTCATAAAATTAAACTATATTAGAAAGTAATATTAGAACCAAATAATGTGCATGCAATTTATGTTATAAACTTATTAAACCGGAAATCACACACATAAACTTATACAATTAGGACCAGGGCCAAACAACATGAAAACTATATTAATTTACTTCAAATATATGTATATTAGACATTCTAGTATAAACTCCAAGAGACGATTTTAAACATTTAGACAAACTGGAACTGCAACCAATTTAAATAAATACATTGACTATCCAATCATAACTTTCACATACATGTAACAGTGGCCTTATGTATGCTACAAATTCTACGGGTTTGGAAACCAAAAAGGTTCTGTTTTTCCCGTTATTGAATACTAGCAGTAGAATGCAATTCTAGGGGAAAGCATTTTCTTGTGAATCTTACTAACAGAAGCAAACCACCAAGATGATGAAATGAATTAATCTATTATAAATAGGAGTTTATTTATCTAATTTTATGAGAAATATATAAATTTGTTTTTAAATTGTTGTGCAAATTATGTATTTAAATAAAATAAACAGATTTATATTTAACTAAATTGATTTACAGATTAAGAAATCATGGGATTAAATCATATAACTTGATTAATATAAATATTCAACAAAATAAAATACCAAAATAAAATACCAAAATAAAATAGTAAAACGAACCAAACCGAAGCTTGTGTGATACCACAGTCTTCTTAAAACAGATTCACCGCCTCACCGTGGATGCTGGAGGTATGTCAACATCTGTCTCTCAAGATACAATAGTTAGAACCCACTAATGCAGAACTTTTGTTTAGTTTCGACGAACTGACAATGGCAACACTCTCTCACACAAGAAAAAGATTATAGGAGCAGACTAAATGTATAGTATGAAAGCCAAAATTCTATACTCCAACCAAAGAGGATGGTCTCATTTTATACAATGGATGAGAGAGGAGGAGCCTTTCTACAACAAATACAAAATTCAATTTTTGCAAAACTTTTTTTTTTTTTTTATTCATAAGAAATTAGAGCAACACAAGGAAAACAGAGCCAGATACAAACCAAGAGATACTAGTCTCTCATCACACTACAACCAATCATGTTGTCAATAAGCAGGGAACTAATTTCTTCCGGTGGTGTTTCAAGGAAAACAAGATGATCATCTTGGGCAACGCCCAGATTTGCTAATCTATCCGCCACTTTGTTGCCCTCTCGCAGTGTATGCCCAAGGGAGCAGTTGCAGCGAGCCAGTAGGAACTTGGCATCTTCAATGAGTGCTTTGTAAGGAGAGTGTGGAGTCGGGCCTTCCTGAAGTTGGTTAATGGCTTGTTCCGAATCCGATTCAATCACCACATCTTTGGTGCCTTTTTGGAAAAGAATGGTAAGGCCTCTGTAGATGGCCCATATTTCAGCCTCCAACTAGAGCAATGGCCTAGCTTACCATAGTAGCCCCATATCCAGCTTCTTGTCTCATCATGCAATAGTCCACCATAGCCTCCTTGGTCGGGATCACCCTTGGAACACCCGTCAACATTTAATTTTAATTTGCCTGCAAGGGGATGAAACCAATGAATCAGTCTAGGAGGAGAAAAATGTGGGTGAAGAGGGGAATGGAAAGCCTCCTCAATTTCAGTCACAAAAACTTTGATCTTCTTTAGACTATTAAGGTATGGATTACATAGATTTTCAAAAATAACCAAGTTCCGATCCTTCCAAATCTACCAAAGGGCAACAATAAACACAATGGACCATCTATGTCCTTGGAATTGGATTTTACTTTTAGAATTACAAGTAACCCATTCCTCAAGAGGCTTATCCATTCCTTCAGCCCACCACTTAGTGTTCTGAAGATGAATCCATATGTCTTTGGACATGGGGCAGCTGCGAAACAGGTGGTTTGTGTCTTCACTGAACTGACCACATCTCAGGCAGAGATATGTTTGTGATAAATTTCTCACCAGTCTCAACTGATTAGTTAGAAGTTTGCCTTTCAAGACAAGCCAAAGGAAATATTTTAGTTTTTGGGGAATTTTGAGTTTCCACATCCATTTCCAGTCCCTGTCAGTCAGATTAGAAGAATCATTGGAAAATAATTTATAAGCAGAGGCAGTAATGAAAGCGCCACAAGATGAAGCAGCCCAGGTAGGAGTATCAGAACAAGAGACGAATGAGGGCCTAGGGATACCAAGGATAGATTGCAAGTCCTGCTGGTGAATCAGAGTTGAAATCTGGGCCAAATCCCACCTGCTTGTTTCATCCAAGAGTAAGTTAACTTTATCAGAGTCATTAACAGGATAGGAAGGATTCAACTGAGATAGGGGAAGTTGACCACACCACCAATCGGTCCAAAGAGAGATATCCTTCCCATTACCCACAACCCATTTAACACTTTTTTTCAGGGCATCTCTATACTTACACATGCTCCTCCAAATGTGAGAAGATCTTTTCTTTAAAGGCCAAGAGTAAAAACTATTATGACTTAAGTATTTAGATTGAAGCACAATACACCAAAGTCTATTGCCCTCGGTCAGGAATTTCCATCCCAGTTTAGGTAACAAAGCAGCATTTTGCAATCTTGCCTTCTTGATACCTAAACCTCCCTCAGATTTATTTGTACACACACTATCCCAATTGACCAAGTGAATTTTCTTATGGGTCTCAAAATCACCCCAAAGGAAATTACGGTTGATTTTGTCAATGTCGTCGCAAATCTTTCTAGGGAGCTCCATGGTTTGCATATTATAAGTGGGAATGGCTGAAGTAACAGATTGAATAAGGGTTGTTCTACCAGCCAAGTTAAGCGTCTTAGTTTTCCAACCAGATAGTCTAGTTTTCATTTTAGTGAGGATATCATTGAAAATATTCTTGGAGACTCTACAATGAAGCAAAGGGGAGCCAAGGTACTTACCAAGGTCATGGGTAAGAGGAATGCCACAGTGAGAGCTAAGGGATCTAGCTAGATTGTTATGTATGTTGGGAGGGACAAAATTTTTTGATTTTAGATAGTTAACTTTTTGGCCAAAGATTTCACAAAATTCTGAGATGACCTCCATAATGGTATCACAATTTTTATGATCAACATGAGCAAAGAGCATAAGGTCATCAGCAAAAAAACAAGTGAGATAAGGGAGGGCTTTTAGCAGATGCCTTGAGACCTTTCCAACATCCCTTTTGGACTTTGTAATTAATCATATTAGACATTCTTTCCATACAAAGCACAAAAAGGTAAGGTGAAAGAGGTTCTCCTTGTCTGAGACCCCTTTTGTTCTGGATACCATCAAGGACTTCTCCATTCCAGAGGATGGAGGAATGACTGTTAGAGACACAACTCATGATAAGATTAATCCATTTATCATTGAGTTTGAATTCAATGAGGGTTTCTCTCCCAGGAAAGTCTATCGTAAGCCTTTTCGAGATCAATTTTGAACACCATACCTCCTCTCTTGCCTTTTTTATGTCCCAAAGTATGAAGAATCTCCTGAGTGATGATAATATCGTCAGTGGTGCTTCTTTCAGGAATGAAACTACTTTGGTTAGGGCTAATCAAAGTATCAAGAAGGGGTCTAATTCTACCCACGATGAGCTTGGTGGTGATTTTGTAACTGACATTGCAAAGCCTGATGGGTCTAAACTGCTCAAAACAATAAGGGTTTCATTTATAGACTCAGGGACATTGTAATTCATAAAGCAAGTTTGGACAAAATCACACACAGAGGGTCCAACAGTACTCCAATATTTTTGATAAAAAATAGCCTGTATACCTTCCTTTCCAGGAGCTTTGAAGGCCCCAATGCTTTTCACAACTCAGAGGATTTCAGAATTACAGAGAGGTTTGAGAAAACTTATATTATCATCATGGGTGAAATGAGTTGGAGCTAAGTTATGCCAATGCTCAAGGTGATTAATGGGCTCACTGTCAAGAAGGTTATGAAAATAATCCCGGATAATGTGCTTAAGATTATCAGCCTCAGAAGTCCAATTACCTGAAGAATCTTTTAGAGCATTTATTTTGAGTTTCCTTCTCTTGGTGATAGTAGACACATGGAAGTATTTAGTATTCCTATCACCAAGTGTTATAGATTTAGACCTAGACTTTTGGAACCATAACACCTCCTGCTGGAACAGGGTAGTATTATAGGATTTGATGAGGTCCTTTTCCAACAAAAACAAGTTATGGGAAAAATTAGCAGCAAGGGATCATTGGATGCCCTCAATGTGAGCAAGGAGATGTCTTTTCCTTTTAAAAATATTTCCGAAAACTTTTTTATTCCACTCTTTCACCCTACGGGTGAACTCATCAGTAGAGTCAATGAGATTATTCTTCATATCATTCCAGGAGGAGGTGATAACCTTAATAAGGCCTGGGTGGGTCATCCAAGCAACTTGAAATCTAAAGGGCCTATGAAGGGGGGTATGGGAATGCATACCTTGGGTGTAGACTATCAACGGTGAGTGGTCAGAGTAGGTTCTTGGAAGAACCCTAACTATGGCTTCAGGGAACATGGTTCTCCAATCTGAGTTGCACATGGCCCTATCCAACCTCTCTATTATGTTGGCCAGACCATGTCTGTTGTTCATCCATGTCATTCTGGGGCCCGAACTCCCAAGGTCGATCAGGTTGCAGTTATTGATCCTATCTAGGAACTTTTGGTTACGAACAAAATTGTGGGAAGGTCTGAAGCTCCTTCTTTCCCCTTGGTTAGTATAATCGTTGAAATCTCTAGCTACCAGCCATGGTTTATCCGTATCACTAGCCACTGCCTCTAGGTCCTCCCACAGGTTTTCCCTCAAAATAGGGTTAGGGCTGGCATAGACTGCTGCAAGGACCCATTCTTCAAAATCTTCTTTGTGAATGGTAGCGTGAATGGATTGGGAGTTAGCAGAAGAAACTCGAACATTGACTTGACTGGCATCCCAAACTATCCAAATTCCTCCCATTCTTCCTGTTGGATCAACGACAGTGGATGCAATGAATCCCAGTTGGTTGAAAAAATTTCCCATTTTGCTAAAGGGCACTTTTGTTTCCAGGAGAATTAGAATTTCAGGTTTATGAGTTCGAACAAGCTTTGTTAAATTTCGTTTAAAGGTGTTATTGCCGGCCCCGCGGAAATTCTAGAAAAGTAATCGGAGCAAATCCATGGATGGGTTAGTTAAGGGAGAGTCGGTTACTAGATCCTTAATGATGCTGCGGATCCTCCGACGGTCGTCTGCCTCCGACCTCATGGAGGCCATCTGGAACGAGTGGAAATGCTTCAGTTTCCTATCCTCCCAGCTTAGCTCTGCTATCATTCGTATTTGTTCGATCCACCATACGAAAGCGATGAGGTGAGTTGCTTCTATCTCTAGTTCTAACAATAGGCTCAGACGGCTGGTCTGGTTGAGGTGCTCTACCACCTCCATTTGACAGTAGTCTGGGATCGGGCTGTCATCCGTCGCCATGGATAGGATCTCCTGGATCGGGTGGCTCTCTTTCGTGAGATGGGAAGTGGAGGGATTGAGGGCTGGTGTGTTGTTGAGAAGTGTGGGTGTCCTAGTTGGCGAGGGTAGGTTAACATCAACCATAGTTAGATCATTCGGGGGTTGAGTGTGCACTACTGCAGGAATCAATTCAGTAGCTTTTGCAGTCTGAAGACTGTCATTAGGGTGAGTGATGCCCATGTCTGTATCGCAGCTTTATGTTTCTTCCCTAGGGTCTCTATGGTGTGATGATGTACCTTCCTCCAATAGCTTCCAGCTGGAGTGTCTCCGAATTGGATTATGGTTGTCTAAATCTGTGGAATGGTGATGGTGTGCCCTAGTTTTGCCTTTACCTTTAGGCTCATTGGGTTGGTTTGAGCCGATTTGGAGGTTGGGCTCTTGTTGGGCTATCTCATGACCTACTGGGTTGTTTTTCTTGCCCCTGTGGTGGGTGGCTTGGCCATCTAAGCCCTCTTCTAGGCTTTTAAATTTATTTTGGTGGGTTGGGTCATGAGGATCTTGGGCCCTTTTGTTATGGACTGGCCTTCTACTTCTTTTAGTAACTAACATCCATGGACCAAACGCCTCTGCATCATCCAACTCTTGTTACAAGTAGCCGTTGGGTTCTGATGGAGTATTGAGGTTCTGATGGTGTAAATCACCATTTTAAGTGTAGAGGTTACACACAATATAGACATGTGTGTATATCTGCAGCCACCACATAGACTTAGCCCAAAAAGATTATCACAAATTCGACCCAGCCCAAACATATCCCATTCCAAGATCCACGGATCACGGACCACAGACCCAGACCGGTTCGGTCTGGACGGGCAGCACACTCGTATGTGGCAATTTTTGCATAACCAATTCGGACCATAGTTTTGGCCCAAGCCCATCCTTGAAGCATCCATAATTCTTTTCCTTCGAAAAATTTGAATGCCCAAAAAGGCTCATGCCCTTATCCAAAGCTTGAGATTTAAATATCCATCAATGTTTTCCTCTACAATCAATGTTTTCCTCTATATACAATTCCCAATACCTCATTCATGAGGGCAACTTTATTAGATAATTTCTCATTTAATTTTCAATAATTTTTTGTTATTCTTCTTGTGGTGTAAAAATCTTATTACAAATAATTTAAACCCATTTGATCCCACATGACTTACTTTAATTTCACATTAAAGTCAGTATAAAATCATTTTTTTCCAATATGAATCTGATGCAACTTTCTCTTGCTTGATGTAATTTTTTTGTCTCTACAACTTGATTTGTGTATGTAGAATGGTATGATCACTTCTATTTATCAGGGTGGTTGGACAAGACTCTTAACAAATTTTAACTTCTTTGACAATTATCTTTATCTTAGTTAAAGATAAATGTCAAAATATCACTTTAATAGTGTGTCATAATTTTATTGGTTTGACCACATTAATGTGACAAGTGATTTTATTTGATTAGCTGAAGGCTTATCTTCTTGAAACTGCATCATTTTTAACATGATAAAATATTTGATTTGACAACCATGTAATTTTGACCTTTGTCCAATTAGACAAGTGACAAAATTTGAATTGTCAATAATTATGTCTTATTTTGTAAGGCTTTGTATTACGTGACAATTTTTAATTGGTTGAAATTTCACCTTTTCTTTTCTCACTCAGATATTGCAAAGAGTACTGCAATGGCACATCGGTTCTTCAATTCTTATCTCTTGTCTCTCTCACATTATATAAATTATTTGTTTTGATATTATTATTAATGATTTTACTCAAAAAAAATGTTGATAAAGTCTAATTTTAACAAATTAATCAACTTACACACACAAAAAAAAAATCAAATTTATGTATAATTCGGAAAACTCGAACAATTCGGGCACTACTTAAGTCGGGCCTAGACAGACAATTTTTGGTTCCTAGTTGGGCTTAGACGGGCCTTGACAACTCTTAATACAACTTGTGTTAGACTAGTCTCTCAACCCGCTTGAATCTGCTAAATTGCACCTCTAAAAAGAACACCTCGTTTTGTTTGGTTTTGAATTTATGTTTTGTTGTTTGTTTTAAAATTAAAACTAGTTTGATGAATAAATTGAAAAATATTTTAAAAACTCATTATATTTGTATGATTTCTCTTCTTTTCTATTCTTTTTAAGATGAAATAATATTTTTAAATTTTAAAAATATCCTTTTTATTTTTGTAAAATATTTTCTATTTTTTAAAAAAGAAAAATAAAGGAAAAATTACCCATAAATCCTATCCTGGAAAAAGTTAAACCATGTAGTCCTTTTAAGTTTTTTTGTATACCATTTAGTCCTAATGTATTGCCAGATTATTGAGGGTGTGATTTGATTCCATTTATTTTTACATCAATACCCTTTTGAGGGTGTGATTTCTCTCTCTCTCTCTCTCTCTCTCTCTCTCCGTGCAACTAGATAGATTCATTGATTCGAAGGAGTTGCAGAGAGTTGTGTTATACCCCTTTTTGGGATGTTTGCTGCTCCGAAGCAACATATCAATGGCGGGTCTTCGTACGGAAAGTCAATCCCATCATCATTGTCTCCATCTTCAACATCGTTTGTTGATTCTATGGTTCCATTTGCTTCAATTGTGCCGTTCTGGGACTAGGTTTTTCCGGTTCGTTTCGGTTTCGATGAGGATTGAGTTTAGGAAGTTGTGGGGTTTCTCTTGCGGCCTCGGCGATTGGGTTTGGGGGTTTGAGGGGAGGTGGTTGGCTCGCCATTGATGGAAGCTCTGGGAGGTTTTGGGTTATGCAATTTGGGAGGTCTAGGAATGGGGATTGGAAAGGTTTCAGATCCGATACGATCAAACCTTGTGAAGATTTCTCTCTGCGTGCCTTCGATCGCGACGATGCCTTGGCCTCTTTTTGAGATCGAAATCCCTCTTTTCTAAGTTCTCTCTCTATGTAAATGTATATGTATATGTATATATATAATTTTTTTTTCTTTATGTATGATAAATCTCCATGATTGAAAGATTGAAAGAAACAGAGAAATCGATCAATGACAGAGAAGATGATCGAAGTGGGGTTTTGTTGATAGTGGAGATGCGATCTGAAAAATGGGAGTCTGAAGAACATCACTGTGTTATACGATTAGGTCCTAAAATTTAAATTTTTTGTTGATGTTGTTGGACCGGAATGTTTGATGTTCACATGTTGATGATTAATGTTGGTGATGTTCGATGTTTGATGATGTTTTTTTAAAGTTTGATGTTGTTGATGTTTTTTGATGATGTTTTGTTGATGTTTAATGTTGTTGATGTTTGATGATGTTTTTATGATGTTGCTGATTTTTGATGATGTTTTTTTAGTGATGTTGGTGATGTAGTTGACGATGTTTTTATGATATTTTTTTAGTGATGTTGGTGATGTAGTTGATGTTGTTGATGGTGATGAACACCAACCCAAAAAAAAGGCCATTAACATCGGCGTAACGATGTGTTTGGAGGGAAAACAAACATCTACAGAGTTTTGGGCATTTCAGTCAATATCACGTTGGGGTTTTCCTCATTTACCCTTACTAAAAAGCGCAAAACATAGTGTAACACTGGTTATTTTGTCATTAACATTAGCTTGGGACTAATTGGATCATAAGATAAAATATAAGATCAAATGGGTCATAAGAGAAAGATTTGGGATTTATTGGTGCATTCCCCAAAAATAAAATAATTTTTGAAAGAATGATTATCTTATTTTTCGAAAATTTTATGTTGATTGTGTACTCAATTCATGGTAGAGGATTAAACAAAAATATGACCTTAATTATAAAGAGATGGTAAATAGCATACAACATATCATGAGACGGGCATATAGACATGATTTTTCTTGATGTACTAGATAATTTTTTGTTTCATCACAAAAGACCATTTTTTTTCTTATAATTTTTTTATCAGTATCGCAAAATTCATCACATCGGAACAGAGTTTTGGTTGGGCTTTTTTGTGGGCCCAAACGCTGTCCAACCACAATACCAGTGCGCTACCACTCCACTCTCTACCAGTGGTGTGCCAAACCCTATATCTATCTCTCATTGGTCCATGCTCTGCACACGCCACTGTCAAAGTTTTCATTTTGCTATAACATAGCAAATGTTAAATGTTAGATGATTTTAATTTTTTATTAGGCACGTATTAATAGGGCTGTGTAAATTTTTTAAAAAAAATATATAAATCAGTCTGAATCAGATCAAATAAAATTGTTTAGTTTGATTCTTTCGATTCATAGTTGCTCTTGATTTTTAATCATTATTCGATTCGGGATTTCATAAATACGGTTTTAATTTAGAATCGAATCGAACTATTTAGATATATATAATTTATTATTTGTGGTGCACATTCAAAGTATCTTACTAGTATTATATATACGTTCATAAGTTATCAACTCTTTATTTATAAGTGTTATTTTATAATAGTAGAATTAGTTATAAACAATCATTTAAACAATTTTGTTTGTAAAACAATGATATATTATTTGTTCTTTGAGCAAGTTGTGGTTATATTATTAATGATAGCAAAGTTCATGAAAATCATAG